CGGGAAACCTTGGAGTGGTGGGGAATGTAGGAGTGGCGACACCACCTGGAGCCTCCTAGGAACTACTGGAGGGATAGGGCGGGACTGAGGCCTGCTTTATCTGTGGGGAGGGGCTCCCTCAAGATTGGCCTCACCTCAGAACCTCCAGGTGGAAGCTGGGAAATCTGAGAGTGTTGGGGGAAATCTAGGAGTGGCAACACTGACTGGAGTCTCCTGGGAGCTACTGGAGGAATAGGGCAGGACTGGGGCCTGCTTTATCTGTGTATATGGGGGAGGCTCCTCTTTGATGATTGGCCAGGATTAAGGCTCCTCCCTCTGATGATTTGAGGCCACACCTCTCAGTATCCCCAGGTGGAAGTCAGGAAATAGCTCATCCAGTGACTTTAACGGAGGCTTCCTGGGGCTTACAGCAAGGGCTATGTTGGACCACTGTTTTGTCTATGTGAGGTAAGGATACTTCTCAGTCCTTCTAGTCCCTCACCTTACCAGAGGTCCTGTACTCTGACCTCTACTAAACTGAAGCCATGACCCTACAGAGAAAACCTCAGCTCCATACTCTTAATGATAACATGGGAGAAAAGAAAAAAGCATATCTAGTGGTGTTGCTTGGGACCTCCCAAGCATGAGTGTAGAAGCAGGTCAGTGAAGGAGCTGGGAGGAAGGGCATTATTACTCTTTATTGGTTTCAGTCATCTTTACTGAGAGTCCTCAGTTTGACTCGGTGCCTCTCTCTGGGTGTAAATCCTATCCCTCTCACAAGCCCCTCCCTTCCCTAAGATAATCCAAGTGGAAGAAAGGGAGTGTCACTTCCATCTACTGTGCATCAACAGGGCTTCTCAGGAACAGGCCATAGCTTTGGCACCCTGTATTTGAATTGATGGTGGCCCTCAGTCTTCCTCAAGGTGGGGAGCCTCCTCCTCTTTGATGATTGTTTGATATTAAACGCAGGACTTGAACTATCTCCCTCCTCAGATCTGAAAATGTCTCCCACAGAATAAAGTTTCTACTTCCCTCATATTCCTAAAGAGGAACTGAAGTAGGCTAGTGTTGCTACCTGATCTTCCTGCCTGGTGCTTCCCAGGGCTGAAGGCAGAGCTGTTTTTTTGTTTGTGGGTTCCCCTCTTTCTGGGATGGAATGTCCCAGTAGTCCTTCCTCTGGTGATACCTGGAAATGTCTGAGCACCCTCTTCTCTTCTGATCTACAGTAGGACAAATGAAAACAAGGTCTTCATGTCTTTTGACCACCCTAAGCAGAAGTCAGGAGATGCCAGCATGCTTCAGGGGCCGCTAGGACTTATTGTGCATAGAGAAATGGATTCTGTGTGTCTTCGTTTTCTGGGATGTGGAAGTCTCTGTAGTTGTCTCTTAGAATCCTTATGTTGGTGATTGACAAGTTCTGGGTTTCCTTCTCCTTCCAAAGTTTACTATATGATATGGGGAACACACGTGATTTAGTTTGGAGAAACCTGACAAACATAACCTTAAAAATTGATGAAGTTCACATCATCATTAATGAGTCATGTAGATACTGTGCACAGTGGATATGATATGGGATATATGGAATTTTCTCTACTCTTATAATTTTTCTGTGAATTAAAATTATTCTAAAATAAAAGTTTACAGGTAAAAATGATAATGAACTAGGTAAAGAATATGTATGAAAG